GATTCAATGTTTAAGCAAAACTATTATTAAACATTTATTTTAATTAGAAAACGTTTAAAATTACAGTTCTGGAAAGAAGAGATATTTAGTTTGGCCTGTGATTTAGTCCCAGTTTTTAATTTTGGCCCAACTTCAGTTTGAGTTTGACACTCCTGGTATAAACTATAAAAGTACAGTTTTCTTTTCTAGTGTTAATTTTTACTCCCAAATATTTTTCTTAAATCAAATTCTTGCTGTTAAAATCGCTTTAGAAAATTGACCTTTATGTGTTATTTTTCTGTTTTATTTCTACGTTAGTCTCTGGTGTGTTGAAATAAAAGCAGCTCTGATGGTTTTGGGACTTAAACATAAAAACAGACTCACCACACACGATTAAAGCTACCATCTGTACTTTATTATTATTATTTATTTATTTTTTTTAAACAATTCTCACCTCACCAGTGCTTTCTACTCTTCTCCTGTCCGGCCAAACCTGCACACGGTGCGACAGCAGCAGAGTGGAGCGCCTCTAGTGGTGAAGTGTGAGAATACAACAGGGGGACGGGTCACTCACAATAATCACAGATGGCAGCTTTAACGATCAGACTTGAACCTCATAAATGTTTTGAAATCCTGCGTGTTTTTCTGGCAGTGGGGTTCATTCGTCTCCTTTAAACACTTCAAACCAACACGGTGACAGTTTTATCCTCAAGTTTAACTCTTTCTTTTTGTGGTGTGGGTGAGATCGTGACCCTCCCGGTGCGTCGGGTTTCTCTTGGTTCTGCTCTGACCTGAAGCTGCTGCTGAGACGAGGAATAAAACATCTGAGAACAGCAGGGCGACTGGTTTCTCCACGGGGCCACAAAATGTTTAACTCAGTTCTGCAGAATATGAATTGCGCCATTTAGTGCCTCCGCTTAATTTAATTTCTCTCCAGCAACTAGTCATGAGTCGAGATGGATGTAGACGAAGACAGAGATTCTGAGTTGGCGACGATTCCCCAGATCCCCGAGGATTTAAAGCCGGAACAAAGAGAATGTTTGGTGAATTTTATCTCGGGGAAAGACGTTATTGTTCTTTTTCCTACAGGATTTGGCGCATTACAAACGTCACGACCAAACAGCAGCGATTGGTTAAATAAAAAAAGTCCCCGCCTCACGCTGCGAGGTCACACGAAATGAAACCGACTCACGAATCAGGCTTGAAAAAGTGAGGCTGCTGAACAAAAAATGTCATTTAAAAACACCTCTAAAATAAAATCAGTGCAGTTTTAGTCCAAACATGATAAAATATGTTTATTTTGTGATTCCAAATGAGCGTAAACGAGCCGATCAGAGTCAAACAAAGCAGGTCTTTTGTACAGGAACCTTTTACAGACTAATCAGGATTCAGACCTGATTGTACCGAGTAAGACGTTTTCAGAAATATTCATGTGCGTAGAATAGAAATCTGTGCATATTTGTCTGTAGTTGAGCATAAAATAAATACTGTTAAACTCTGGAATGAGTCGAGTCAAACATAAAATGTGTTGTGTGAATTTTATACATCAGAATATGAAGTGAAAAGTTACAACGTCAAGAATTAAAATCACCAAATGAAAATGTACGATTAAACTTTCTACAGAACGAACACGAATTCAGAGAACTCGACTCAGAAATACAACATCACTTTACAGAAGAAACATCGAGCGAGATGACGGACGAAACCTGGACGAAACCTGGACTAAAACTGGACTAAAACTGGACTAAAACTGGACGAAACCTGGACTAAAACTGGACTAAAACTGGACTAAACCTGGACGAAACCTGGACGAAACCTGGACGAAACCTGGACTAAAACTGGACGAAACCTGGACTAAAACTGGACTAAAACTGGACTAAAACTGGACGAAAACTGGACGAAACCTGGACGAAACCTGGACTAAAACTGGACTAAAACTGGACTAAAACTGGACTAAAACTGGACTAAAACTGGACGAAACCTGGACTAAAACTGGACTAAAACTGGACGAAACCTGGACTAAAACCTGGACGAAAACCTGGACGAAAACCTGGACGAAAACCTGGACGAAAACTGGACGAAACCGGACTAAAACTGGACTAAAACTGGACTAAAACTGGACTGAAACCTGGACGAAAACCTGGACTAAAACCTGGACTAAAACCTGGATGAAACTGGACTAAAACTGGACTAAAACTGGACTAAAACTGGACTGAAACCTGGACGAAACCTGGACGAACCCTGGACGAACCCTGGACTGAAACCTGGACGAAACCTGGACTAAAACCTGGACGAAACCTGGACGAAACCTGGACGAAACCTGGACGAAACCTGGACGAAACCTGGACGAAACCTGGACTAAAACCTGGACGAAACCTGGACTAAAAACCTGGACTAAAACCTGGACTAAAACCTGGACTAAAACTGGACTAAAACTGGACTAAACCTGGACGAAACCTGGACGAAACCTGGACGAAACCTGGACTAAAACCTGGACTAAAACCTGGACGAAACCTGGACTAAAACCTGGACTAAAACCTGGACTAAAACCTGGATGAAACCTGGACGAAACCTGGACTAAAACCTGGACTAAAACCTGGACGAAACCTGGACTAAAACCTGGACTAAAACCTGGACTAAAACTTGGACTAAAACTGGACTAAAACCTGGACTAAACCTGGACTAAACCTGGACTAAACCTGGACTAAACCTGGACTAAACCTGGACTAAAAATTGACTAAAAATTGAGTTATCCATGAGGACTAAACCAGGACTGAACCAGGACTGAACCAGGACTGAACCAGGACTGAACCAGGACTGAACCAGGACTAAACCAGGACTGAACTAGGACTGAACTAGGACTTAAACCAGATCTAAACCAGGACTAAACCAGGACTGAAGTGAATTATGATTCTTGACGTTGTAACTTTTCAGTTCATGTTCTGATAAAATAAACACATTTATTTATGTTCGACTCGACTCATTTAAAAGTTTACAAATATTGATTTTATGCTCAAGTACAAACAAATACAAATATGAACAGATTTCTCTCCTGTGAACATGAACGTTTCTGAAACTTTCTTCGTCCACATGATCGGACGTTTGTCGTTGATGTTTTACAAAAGAAACAGTGAGGGTTCTGTTCCCGACCGTGGGTTTAACTCCCTCCTCTTCCTGATCATATGAACAGAAGTCAGCGGGTTTCACACTCTGACCTCACAGCGAGGAGGTTCCAGGTTCAGTTCTTTGGTGTTTCTGTGCTGAACGTGCAGGTCGGGTCAAACGCAGAGGACACGTCTCCCTCCGGGTCTGATCCTCGTGTCACGGACCCGACGACCTGCTGCTCGGACTCTCTGTTCTGGATCTGAACATGGAAATGGAAACGCTGATGTTCAGTCTGTCCTTTTACACAAGACACGACTAAACCGGGACTAAACCGGGACTAAACCGGGACTAAACCGGGAATAAAACGGGACTAAACCGGGACTAAACCAGGAATAAAACGGGACTGAACCGGGACTAAACCGGGACTAAACCAGGACTAAACCAGGACTAAACCAGGACTAAAATGGGACTGTACCGGGACTAAAACGGGAATGAACCGGGACTAAACCGGGACTGTACCTGGACTGAACCGGGACTAAACCGGGTCTAAACCAGGACTAAACCGGGACTAAACCAGGAATAAAACGGGACTGAACCGGGACTAAACCAGGACTAAAATGGGACTGTACCGGGACTAAAACGGGAATGAACCAGGACTAAACCGGGAATAAACCGGGACTAAACCAGGACTAAAATGGGACTGTACCGGGACTAAACCAGGACTAAAACGGGACTAAACCAGGAATAAAACGGGACTGAACCGGGACTAAAATGGAACTAAAACGGGACTGAACCAGGACTGAACCAGGACTTGATTGAAAAGACATGATTTTCTAACAGAACAGACGCTGCCAAACAAATGTGACATGTTTCTGTGTTTCGTTTTGTTTGGTTTTTGCAGCTCGGTTTGTGGATTTTGACTCTGTGTGTTTTGTTTTGTGTTTTGTTGCATGTTCTTCATATGTTCTTGTTCCGTGTTTGTGTGGGAGTTCTCTGTGGGCTACACGCCGTCATTCCCACAAAAACCGTCACTCCGAAATCGAGGTTTAATAATTGGCGGAAAGGCGGAGTTTCCATTTTTTTAATCAAGCGTCTCTGCACTTACTTTTGTTTTCTTTTTTTAGATTTTCTTTTTCCAACATTCCTCCTTTCTGACTCAACAAAGGAATTGTTAAATTGCTTGGCACAGTGTGAGTGGTTCTGGTTTAGTCCCGGTTCAGTTCCGGTTTAGTCCCGGTTTAGTCCTGGTTTAGTCCTGGTTCATTCCCGTTTTAGTCCCGGTTTAGTCCCAGTTTAGTTCCGGTTTAGTCCCGGTTTAGTCCCGGTTTAGTCCCGGTTTAGTCCCGGTTCAGTCCCGGTTTAGTCCCGGTTTAGTCCCGGTTTAGTCCCGGTTTAGTCCCGGTTTAGTCCCGGTTTAGTCCCGGTTTAGTCCCGGTTTAGTCCCGGTTTAGTCCCGGTTTAGTCCCGTTTAGTCCCGTTTATAGTCCGGTTTAGTCCCGGTTTAGTCCCGTTTAGTCGTTTAGTCCCGGTTTAGTCCCGGTTTAGTCCCGTTTAGTCCCGGTTTTCAGTCCCGGTTTAGTCCCGGTTTTAGTCCCGGTTTAGTCCCGGTTTAGTCCCGGTTCAGTCCCGGTTTAGTCCCGGTTTAGTCCCGGTTTAGTCCCGGTTTAGTCCCGGTTTAGTCCCGGTTTAGTCCTGGTTCACACAAGCCAAAAAACGTGCCGCTCCAAACTCTTGAGTGCGTTACCAGATTGTCGATATAAAACTTGTCGGAATGTCCTTTTTTTGTCGGAATAATCGCCGTTTTCCCCACTCAAACTCCAACTCAAACTCCGCGCTCTTGAACTTCCGTATCAACTAAATAAATTTCCACGAGTTTTATTCTGAAAATCTAACCCCGTCCTCTCTCTCTGTTTCAGTCTCTTCAGTCTGAGTTCATCCAGTACTAAAGACGTGAAAACCTGAACTCCATCTCCCACAATCCTTTGCTGCTGCTTGGCCCCGCCCCTTTGGCCCGCACGGACTCACCGAGCGAACAGACGGTTCACCGCAGAGAGATTTATATTTACATAAACGAAGAAAAAACTCCAAGAAAAGATTTTGTACTTTGTCACAGAGAATCTTTTGTGTATTTTTTTTGTTTTTAAGAGTTTTATTTTTGAACACGTGAAGGATCGGACGCAGTATTTTCGGGAATTTCGCCGGACGGATTATTTTTTTGGGGGGATTTTAAAGGGACGGATATTTGTCTAAACTCAGGGGACGCGAACGAACGAGCGAACGAACGAAGCTCCTTTTGTCTTAACGATGTTTTAAATGTATATAAAAAAAAAAAGCTTATTATTATTATATATTTTTAGTTTTTAACACGGACTGATGTTTTTAAGCTCGTCTGGATCACTGTTTGAACGTTTCTCGCGCTTCGGAACGATCGTGTTTTTCCATCACTAAACATTCCGGACTTTTTAATAATAATAATAATAATAATAATAATAAAAGTGAAATGCATTTGTTCTGCTTAAAACTGAACGAGAAACAGAAGCAGGTACTTGAATGTAATGGCTGAAACGCTTTTATTTTATTTTATTTTATTTGTTTAACCCAAAATCTGCTGTAAAAGTAAAAAATGTGTTCGGAATTTTCAGATTTTTAAAGGTGCATTTTATTGTTCACTTCTTGTTTCTTTGCCCGTAATGTTCCACGGTAGGGCTTTAAAATCCCTGTGTCGTTCGTTCATTTGTTTTTCGAAATTTTTTAAAAGAAAGAAAATGGAAACATTTTCTTCATTATTTGTCTCCAAAACCAAAATGAAAAAAACAGATAATGATTCGATTTTTCAGTTTTCGATTTTGTGTTTGAATGAAAAATGGAAAAAAATCGGATAATGGACTGAACCAGGACTAAACCAGGACTGAACCAGGACTGAACCAGGACTGAACCAGGACTGAACCAGGACTGAACCAGGACTGAACCAGGACTGAACCGTTTTCAGTCCCGGTCTGGTCCCAGTCTGGTCCACGTCTTCATTCCTGGTCTGGTCTTGGTCTGAATCCTGGTCTCAGTCTCTGGTCTTAGTCCCGGTCCTGTTTCCAGTCTCAGGCCCGGTCTGGTCCCTATCTCAGGCCTGGTCTCTGGTCCCGGTCTGGTCCCGGTCTGGTCCCGGTCTCAGTCATCATCTGGTCCTGGTCCTGTTCCTGGTCTCAGTCCTGGTCTGGTCTTGGTTTGAGTCCTGGTCTCAGGCCCTGGTCTTAGTCCTGGTCCTGTTTTCAGTCTCAGTCCCAGTCTGGTCCTGGTCTGGTCCATGTCTCAGGCCCGGTCGTGTTCCTGGTCCTGTTCCTGGTCCTGTTCCCGGTCTCAGTCCTGGTCTACTTCTGGTTTGGTCCAAGACCTTGTTTAGACCTGGTTTAGTTCTGTTTTAGTCCTTGTTCAGTCCGTTATCAATTTTTTTTCCATTTTTCCTTTAAAAACAAAATCAAAAACTGAAAAAATTAATCATTAGTTTTTTTCATTTTGGATTTGGAGACAAATAATGAAGAAAACTGTTGTTTTTTCGTTTTCTTATTTTTGGTTTTATTTTAAAAAACAAATGAACAAATGACACAGTTTGATAAAATATTTCTCACTTCCTTTTCTTCATTTACAGCTCAAAAAAACACCTTAAAACCTTCTATTCTCACCATGTGTGCGCTCGCCTCTCCACAGATCTGACTGTTACCCTGTCTCCATTGTGATCCTCAGTGTTATTTCCACACAGATAAAAATGAAGTGTTAAAATTGACTCTCACATTTCCTCAGAGTTTATCTGAGTCACTCTGTTCTCGAGTTAATTTAACTTTTGTGTAAAAGTTCATGAAGTAAAACTGGACCAAAGTTCCTGTTTAACTCCAAATCCAGAGTTAAATTCACCTTCTGAGAGTGAACAGAAAACACTGTGTAGAGTTATTCTGATTTAACTCAACACACAGAGGGGTTTTATTTTTACACTTTCTTTGAGTTAATTTAAGATGAAATTATGAACAAAACTGGTTCAGTCTGGTTCTACTCTGGAGGGAGTTTGAAGTCAAATTGAAGTTGAATTAAGTTCAACCAAATCAACTCTGGAAAATTACTCCAACACGTTTAACTTTCAAATAATTAAAATATCACTTTTTGTGTTAAAAACAACTCTGAAATATTTCACCCTGACATTTTAACTCCAGTTTTTTTCTGTTCATGTGGAATAATCGAGACAAAACTGAAACATCTCCACGGACGCAGTGAGTTTCAGATTCTGTTTACAGGCGCCATTTTGAGGACTTTTCACCAGGTAAAGAAGATTCCAGGTCAAACAGAAACATCTCCACGGAGAGGAGAAGGTTCCGTAGTGAGACTTTAAATCCTGTGATGTTTGTGACGCGTTAAAGCAGCTGGTTTTAAATG